AATATACTTTCAAACGTGTACACGAGCAGAGAGAAGGAAGTAGCAACACAGGCAGAGCGGAGCGGTTGTATCTCAGATACAAGGAAGAACAGACGAGCAAAATTCAAGCTTTTTTTGTTACTTCTTATTGTTTATCTGAGGTCAAAAGTCAATTATACAATTTAAATTTTGTATTTTCCGTCTTTTTAACTCTTTTAATTTGCATACCTAATTGATTAATTAATTCTTATATTTGTTTTATTTGTATTTTAGTTCAAAATATTAGTAATTTTATCAGCAAAATTTTTTAATTTTTCTATTTTTTAATGCATTCATTTGCTTTGCTTGCATTGCAATCATTTATTTTGCAAAGCGAAAAATGACTATTTTTTTTTTGTTTTTTTATTCTCTTTTTTAATAATCAATGATCAATGAACATATTTAATTCAATTTCTTTTTATCAATTATTTATTTTTTTAAAACAATTTTCAATAATAATTTTTACAAAATAATCAATAAATTCATTCATATATTGTAATAATTTGTAATTGTTTAATAAAAAAATATTAGCTGTCATTTTTATTTTTGCTTTTTTATTTTTGAATTTATCTTTTTTTTGCATCAAATTTTTAATTTTTCTTACTGTAATGATTTATTTATCGGATTTAAAAATTTTTTTTAAACAAATTTTGAATTTCAACGCTTCTTTCTTCTTTTTTTTTTCTCTCTCTCTTTCTATCTGTAAGAGAAAAAGTATTTAAAAGTCAGCAAAACAGGAATACACTACATATCTTAACCTCTAACCTGCAGCACATAATCACATGTATGTGCTACAGGTCAGAGGTTAAAATATATATATATATATATGTCGTCAATTTGAATTAGATGATGCATATATATATATATATGTATGTCGTCAATCAAAATCAAAAATGAATGATTTTTTGATTTTGAATTGATTTATATATGAAATAAAATACAATAAAAGAATACTATATATATGAATGAGTCAGTGAATGAATGAATGAATGAATGAATGAATGAATGAATTTGTATTGGGTAGTGGAGAGTAACAGCAGTGCCATTGGCAGTGGTAGTAGCGATAGCAACAAGCAGATGGCAAAAAAACCCCTCAATTCTTACCGCTAAATTTAGTCCCTTTTATTTTCCCTCATATATTTTTTTTTAGCTTAAACAAATCACTTTATCTTACATTAATTATGTAATTTAAACAACGTGTATATTACTAGATATTTGACGTAAAACGTGTCTTATATTATTTATAATATTATAATTACTTGTTATTAAAAATATTCGCAGTACTAATATTATATGAGGAGTGTGAATAAATTCTTTTGAAAACTGCAAATATACAAGTACTACAGTACTTCAAGTCAATTGCTCATATTTATTTTCCATTCTTATCCAAGCATTTCTTCTACATTTGACATTTGCCCTTTAATCTCTTGTTTCGTTTTTCTGTTTCATAAATAATGAATGCTCTTGATAATTCTTCATCATAAATATTACTATTATTATTATTATTATTATTATTATTATTATTGCCATTACAAACATTGTATCAGTTAAAATGATTATCTTCACTTAAAATAATAAAAGTGTCGTAAACTATGTCACGCTTCGTAATTTTCTGACAAGTTTTTTAACGATTGTGTGACCTTGAAGGATATGCAAGGAGCAGTTATCCAAATATAAATTCATTAATGAACTATAATTATTAGTGGCAAATAGACTGAAATAAGTGCGTGTGCGTGTGCGTGTGCGTGACGAGTGAGTAATTTTCGTAGTGTAAACGTTTAAAGGAAAGATAAACAGTTTTATTCTTGGGCAAGCTTACTTTTAATTGCTATGAAATTTTGTTTATAAATAGTTTGAGTTTAAAAGCTTTGCCATCTGATGTGTTTTGTTTTTGCATAAAATTTAAACTAAAAAGTAAAAATTCAAATTTTAAGTATTTTCTAAAATAATACTTTATGCATAAGTAATGATTTCCAATAAATATGATAAGTGCAGTAGAAAATAGCCCAGAAATATAGCTTCATATACCCAAGCAATTTGAGCAAAAGTGATTTTATTTACATTATTATTCTTAGCAGTTTTGAAAATAATGTTAGTTTGACGTGCGTAATTACTAACAAATTGGGTTTCACACGTGAATAAAAAGTCCCACAGAGATTAGATATCGCTGCGTATTTCTTAACTGCTATAAAAGACATGAAAATTGAGTTAATTGGTGACCAAAAACCAAAGCTTACGTGTATCACGTATTTTTTCTTTTAACATATTTAGTGCAGAAAATATCAAACATCGATCTCAATTTTTTTTTCTGCGAAAATTTTTCATACGTAAAGATTTTTTTTGTGTACGTACGTACAACTTTTAATGATGGCAAAAGAAGAGAAGGAGAAAAGAAGCTATCTCATCAAAAATCACTTTACGGTCTGTTTTTGACCTATTTTTGTAACAATATTTATTTCAGGTAAAGTTACACGTGACTTATTTGTTTACTTTTGCTATTAATTTTTGTTTATTATTCTTAGCTTATAAATATTTCACTTCAATAGCATTTACTGTGTATTTTAGACATTCTCATAAAGAATAATTGTATACTTTGTTGTTAATACATCAAATCTTAACGCAAATAAGTGTAATAATTTTTAAGATTATTGCATGAATGAAATTTAAAAACTAATTAATTACATTATTATTATTGTTTTTATTACTAGTAATAAATAATAATAATAATAATATAAATAAAAATAATAATGGAACATATTAAAGGATTTAGTAAACTTCTTGTGATGATATCAATTGTAGCCAAACGTGTGTTGTTATATCTTATTAAGTGAATTATACTTATATATGAGATTACTTAGTAAGTAAATCGATGTGAAAAGTACAACATTGTTATTTTGTTTACAGCAGAAAGTGAAATTGCTTGATGCTTCAATTCTTATTCCTGTTGACCTATGCACTTAATCCCTAAGCAGATGGCATATCTAATAAGTATCACTTATACTCATGAATCTTTTTTTTCCTTTTGTCGTTATTCTATTCTTATAATGACTGTTAAAACTGTTATTAATTACAAATAGGAATAAACTGAACAAAATATATAAAATAATCAAAATTGCTAAAAAAAATAACTAAATTTGAATAAAATAAGTTAGCATTTATTCAGTTGTTAAGTTTTATTTTATCCGTTCAGATCTTGCTTATTCTTGTCAAACATTTACATCTTATAAATTGACTGAATTAAAAATTCGAAATCAAAATATAAATACTAATACCATAATTTAATAATCAATATATAGTAATTTATCAAAATATAAATAAGATTAGAAATCAAAAATAAATTATTACTAAAATTTATTAATTTATTAATTATATATTACTGTAATTATTCTATTTTTCTTCAGTTTAATACTTTGAAATAAATAAGTCAAAATATTGCTTAAAAAAAGAAATATTGTATATTTTTTCTATCAAATTTGTAATTGAAACAAAATTGATTTTTGATTTTTATAGAATTGTAATCTGTGCATCACACTCATCCATCAATCTTTGCAGCCATCCATCTAATCTATCCATCTGTTTCTTCATCAACAAAAGCAGATCGTAACATCAGAATCGCCGTGGTGGGGGAGATGAATCGCAATTATCGTTTCTTCTTTCTCTTTTTGTGATCAATGATCAGCATCGCTCGTTCCTCTTCCCTTCTTTCCTTTCATTCTATCCTTCCCTTCCATTCTTTCAATTTAAATGTTTAAGGTATGGTTTTTGATCCCTTATTAGTTAATATTAATATTGACATTGCTATTACTATTACTGAGCTAGTAGTAGTAGCAGTAATAGTAGTATTGGTAATAGTAATAATAAT